TCCTGCTCCCGGGACAGGGGGGAGCGGGGAGGGCCCCGCTCTCAGACCTCCAGCGCAGCGCCTGTCCAGGGGAAGTGTCTCCAAAGTTGTGCTGGGGAGACCGCCGGCGGCGAGCCGGGCGCTTTCGCCCAGAAAGGGGCGGGGGTGGGGGAGGGAGAGGGCACAGTTGAGAGTTAATCTGGCTGCCGCCGCCGACACACCCTCCTTCCTCTTCCAGTCGCTCTAGCCGCCTTCTTCCCCGGTACCGGCCCCAGAACCCCCTGGGAAGGAAGGCCGGGCGCCGTGGGTCTGCTGGACTTAGAGCTAGGCAATCCGGGACAGAAGCGTGGCTTTTACACAAAGGGGATTCCCGGGACCGCCGCGGCCTTTCGCCCAGATGTGTCCTTCCCCTCTCTCTCACCCTAGTCACTCCTGGGGACGTGGGACGGGGCCGCACGCGGCTGGGAACCCTGGGGGGCTGAGGGGAGCGGAGCAGGAGGACGTGACCTCGCGGCAGTCACTGTGCAAGTGGGCGCATGTGTGTGGACAGCCAGCTGAGTTTGTGGAGGACTGCGTCTCTACGCACATGTGCCGAGAGCGTCTGCCGCTTTCCTCCCGACAGTGGCCACAAATTTAGCCAAGGCTAAAGGAGATTAATTTCCTAGCACAATCCAATTAAAAGATTTCTGAAGTCATCTTTGGCAAAAATGGGGGGGGGGTGCATGGCTAAAGAGGAGACTGGTTTTGATGACAGTGATTTATCGCCCGGGCACAGCGTGCGCTGGTCGCTCTCTCCTGCACCCGCGAGGTGACCAGAGCATCCCCGGCAGTGCCTCCAGTCCAAGCCGTCTCCTTTCTGAAAGACAGCCATCCATCACGCCAACCTGGGCAGAAGAGAATATGCGAGGGCCTGGGGTTGCTTACAAGCACCATAGACTTTTTTAAGTGCTATTAGATTTATGGTCTCTTTTTCGAGGCCCATCCAGAGTAATTAGCACATATGTTCTAAATAGATGATAGTTTTGTGAGCAATAAAGCAATTACCCATCGTTGGAGCTGACAGTTCCTCCAACTAAACTCCAACCAGCAGCTAATTGGAAAAGTCATTTCAGCTCCATTGTCTGCAATTAGTCCTGCTAAACTACTACACCCCAACTAGCTGGTTTGAGGTTAATTTATTCAGTGTTGTATTTGCACAGAGAAGCCATTGCCACAAAGGGACTTGCCTTTTGCCCCTCCGGACTGCGCCCTGGGACTAGAGGAGCCGGTGGCAGCCAGAGGCCAATATTCAGGGGCTGGGCCGGTTCCCAGGGGAGGAAGTGCCTGGCCCGGCCTCAGCTTCAAGGTCAGTGGCCAGTGCGCTGAACCAGCTGACAGAGAAAGCCATTGTTTCTCCTGCTGGGCAGTAACTAGAGGAAACTCTTCAGTTCCCGCAACCAAAACCTTAGTTTATAAAAAGGAAAGTCAGCATAGAAGAGCTGACTGGGTTCTGAGTGCACCTCCTAGGCACCCAGTTCTGACCCTAGGCCACGTGTATCTCCATCCCTAACGGATAAACACAGATTCAAAAACCAGCCCAAACTGCCCAATTCCAAGCCCTCAGCTGGGAGAGGGAGCCTCCAATTCTTGGAGTAGAAAGAAAAGACCAGACAGGTCAGGAAGCCCTGCTTTGCCTTCATCCCCTCTCTGAGTACAAGGTCACTTCTCCCCTTGAAACTGGAGCTGCTCTGTGACTTTTTTTCTTTTTCATTTTTCCCTTTCCCCTTCTTTCCTCATCTTTTTTTTGTTTTCTTTCTTGTCTAAAGTTAAGCCCAATAGGTCCACAATTTGCGCCAGTGAGTGGAAAAAAATGTGTTAAATGTTGGTTTGATGCCCCTCCGGAGCTTCCAAATATCCAGTGGCTGGGATTCTTCTACTTAATTTAATCTTTATTGGACAGGGTGGCTCCTACACTCGTATTCCCCAGGAAACCTGGGAAATGATCTGTTGGTGTTCAGAAAGGAGGGAGGGAGGGAGAGAAGTTAAAGAGGGATTAATCCTCTCCCACCCAACCTCGAACGTTGTCACTGTGATTTCTGATAGGCTGAGGGTAGGAGCGGAGGGGGCTCAAGGTCCCAGCCCAGACAGCCAAGGGTCTCTGCGATCTGCAGCAGGGGGCCGGAAGGCTGGCAGGTTGAGATGGGAACTTGTAGCCCTGGTAACCGAGTATTCCCTTAAAAGAATTTACAGCTAAGTGTCCCAGGCTCTGGGAGCAATTCGAATTTTAGTTAGAAGAACATGGGGTTTGGGGGCGGGGAGAGACTTCTTAGGAGGTAAAGCCAAGTGCTTTCAGTCTTAGAAATCTAATGTCCTTTTTCTGGAGAGCCATTCATACTTAACAACCTGAGGGCTGTTTCTCCTTTTTGAAGCAAACACAACACCACCTAAAGAAGACAACTTAGGTGGTATTTCAGTCAGCATAGAATTACTAAAATAATTCCAATTTCAAAACCAATTGTAATCAACTGCTCAACTTCAACGATTTGGAGATACAAACCTATAGCACACATACACACACACAAAAAAAACTTAAATTGTGTAAGGTCAGCCTCTTGTTTGCCACTTACTTATTGTGTTTTAACCAATTTGATTCCAATAAAGACCAAAAAGAAAAAATATGGGGGAGAGATTGAAAGTAATAGTCTCATCTTACCCCATCACCTCCCACCTGTCACACAATCTCTGCCCTTGAAGAGAAATCCTCCCGTCAGTGTGGCTCCCAGTTGAAATAAGATGTCTTCACTAAAAAAAAAACTGTCCATCGTGTTCTCAATTATTTGCTTTTTTTCCAGGACTTAAATATGACATCCCAGAGAGTGAGGGCAAGAAAAAGCTGAAGGGAGAACCAGCTGCAATTATCACCTAGACCTGATAGAGAATCCTAATGTGGGTGTGCATGCATACTTAAGTATAAGGGCAAATAGAACCCACCCAATCAATAACCCACCAAATGTGTGGGAAACATTTACAACATGCACCCCACAAAACTCTAAGCACATGTGTGTAAAGATGTAGTCATATGCAAACTTAGCTAGCTGTCCACACATGTATCCACTGCTAAAGGCAGTTTCGTTGCTCCCATAGTTTCTTTCCATTAAGAGCGATTAGAAGATATCTATTCAAAGTTGCTGATCCAGAGAGAAAATAAGAGCAGATAAAAGGAGATTTCAAGTGACCTCCTTGTCCCTTTCACACCAGCCTTAGCCCTAGACTAGCCAAGGATCAACTAACACAAAAGCCCTTTCCTTTTTCTTTTCAGCTTCAGAAGATTTCATGCAAACGGTTAACAATAAAACATAGAACTATCCTGGAGTTTTGTTAGATCATGCATTTGAAATACCTTATTAACTCCTCCCATAGATGGGCTAGGTTTATTATCCACTTCTGAAATGGGTAAATAAAATATACATAGTGTAACAGAGGGCATAATTATTTATTGCTCCATGTGGTTTGTATCAGTGGTGGACTATGCTCATTCTTTTTCATCTAAACTTTACTTAAATCCCCTTTCTCCTTACTGATGGAGACTGATGGAGGACACTGTAATAAACATGTCTTTCCACTGACAGTTTAGAAAGAAAGGTTAGGGTTATTATTTAGATCAACTTTCTGATAGGTAGGTACAAGTGAAGCATGACAATAGTTACCAACAGATCTGCTGGCTTTGTGAGCCAGTACTTTCCCAATAGTTTATTTTATAGGCAGTGAAGATTTTAAAAACTTAAACATACTTGAGCAGCCCTTAATCAATGAATGTCCAATTCAAATCTACTTCTGATGGGCTAATCCTGTAATAAAAGAAATCTGTGTTCTGACAGGTAATTATTAAGAAAAATGATAATATAGTTGATTGTCTTGTCAGGGTACTTTAATAAGCGTCAAACTCCTTTTAAAACCAAAACTTTTCATCCAAACCCAACCCATTTTCTCTTGGAAGAAGAGCCTTGCAGTCAGTCTTCACTCAAGTCTGGCATTTAAAATGCGTTTTATAACATAAACTTCTCCATTTTCTTTTTTGTACAAATGCATTTATCTGGCTAAGACTTGATTTTTACAAAAAGTAAAATTTGCACCCCCCCCTACCCCTTTCACTGATGTGCTATGAATGATTGTTACGTTTCCTCCTACAAAAAGCTTGTTTTGCATCCAAAGGTCAACACTTGCTACTGGGGGGGGGGGGGGCTCTAACTTGGGGCCCAAGCAGAAAGGGGAAGTACTTCCCTTATCTCTGTTTTCCAAAACCCGTGCTTTAAATGGCCAGTTTGTGATAGAAAACTAAACCGCTTCTAAAGTAAAGCACTTATCTCTGAGTGTTTCGACCCAAAGGTGACAAAGAAGAAATGCCCAGGCTACCAGAGTTATAGTGAGTACAGGAGTCTGCTGGATCCGTTGTCCAACTATATGAACAGGTAAGAGCAAGCAGTACAGCCCACTCCCAACTTGGCCTTTCCACCCTTGTTTTCAGGTCGTCAAAGACAGAACTTTTTACAGTTGGGAAGCTACAATACAGACTGAGTTCAACCTTTTGGGAGGGGGTTTCTGACATAGGCCAGGCTTTTGTTTGTTTTTTTAATAAGCACAAAACATTAGGCAGGCATCCCAGTGGCTTTCTCTCCTCCCTTTTCTTCAAAATATCTATGCAAGACCACGTTAAATACATCTTCAACTGCGTCCTTCCCAGCATTAATCTCATGCCAACGGAGACTAATTGATTCGGCACCTTTAAAATAAGCTCTTTGGGAAAGGTCTGTAATAAGATCAGAAGAACTGACCTTTCTCCCAATGATTGCAGGCATGTTCATCTCTCCAGATGGGCTTGATAAAACAGGGCTATTTCTGTTCTGTGGTCTCTCTAAACAGAATAATACCATTTTTAATTATTTAGAGGGTAGAGAAGAGGTATGAGAGAGAATCTTTTTTTGAGGGGGGGGGGAGAATCTTTTACACATATCTGGTCATTTGTAGGATCTCAGGGCTCTTGAAGTAGATTTTGAAAATATTTTTTACAAGGACACCTTTGTTCAGTGTAATTTGCCAAAAAGCCAAAATGAATGTACCAGTGAGTTTCGGGAAAGCAAAATACCAATATCAAAGATGTCATAGGATTAGTGAAGAATGATTCAGCATTCCTCAAAAGAAAGATATTGGGGAGGGGGTATTAATCAGTTGGAAAGTCTGCATAGATCAGACTCTGGGGCCTGGAATGCAAGTCAATGCTGAGATCTCTGCTTCTCTCCTCCCACCAGGTCACAACTGTTTACTGGCTGTCTGGCTAGGAGAGATCAAGGATTGTGTGGAAGTTCTTTTAAAAGGTGATTAAGGCTAGGCCATGATGCTAGCAATCTGAAAGGGGCAGTGTAAGTTTACAGCCTGATTCCTTCTCTTCGTCTGTTGGGTGAACCACACTGCAGACTTTGTATGCAGTGAGTAGCCTGTAGGAAACAGGAGGGCAGAGAAAGACTTAAGGAGGGAGGCCCAGGAGTCCAGGCCCTGGGAGGCTTTTCTGATCCCTAGACCGGCCTCACGAGGAGAAGCCTTGGAGAGGGCCAAGGAGATAGGGCCACAGGGCTGGCGGTCTCAAGTAGGGTGCTGGGGAAAGGGCCACAGCCTGAGGTTATGTGCGAGAAGGAAGGGAGAGCGATCTGGAGAAGAGAGGACGAGTGAAAAATGGGAGGAAATTTGCAACTGCGTTTTCTGCTTCTGCAGCTGAGTGTGCCTGGACACGTGTGTGGAATTGCACAAGGTGGGGACCTACGTGCTTCCACAAAATATGGTCACTTTTCTATTAGGTGCCCTACCAAACAACAAGAGTATCAATCGGGCCCAGGTCCAGTGTGGCAAGCCGAACCAGTGACAAACGCCAGCCAGAGCTCCCCAGGAGTCCCCAGGACCCTCAGTCCCTCCACAGAAGCCATTTTGCTGGTGAGGCTGTGAGCACCAGTGGAGGCGCTCTGCGGGTGTGAAAACGCAGTCAGGGGGAGAAACCGAGGCCTGAGTGCCGCTAGGGCTGGACAAGTCCCAGGAGGGGACGGCGCCTCTCCTCGAAACGTTTAGGTTTCTTCCTGCCCCCTTTCGAGACAGAAAGTTGGCGCATTTGTTCCCTGCCCCAAAGCCCAGGGCTTCCACTGCTCCGCGCACCACCACCAACAGCAGCCACCCTCCGGGACAGGGGATGGGGGCTGCACCCCTCCGTCCCTTCCTTTCGGGAGGTGCGAGGGCCCCGCCGCTCCCCATCCCGCGGGTCACGCGGGATCCCAGGGGCCTCTTCCAAATTTGGAAGCTCAGTATGGGGGCTGGCGGGAAGAGCCCGCAGTGAGCGCGGGTGGGCGCCGCCGTTCAAGCAAGTTTCAGCTCATCCTCCCG